CCCGTCTGAAGTTTGCACAATATCAGGAAAAGATCAAGTGCGATGCTCGAAACTTGTATGACTTTAGAAGATCTGACTGAATTCAAGCTTGTTGTTGTGGTGTGAAACTGATGTGAGCCAAAAACATTCACATTCACATTCACATCCAAAACCATGACAAAACAATAAGGCTGACTTTAGATGATATCACGCTTTCTGCCACCTCAAATTACCATTTTAATTGAATGCTTTGGTGATTCATGTGTTTCTGTGCCACCAATTAATTTGCAACGATTCAAAACAGTGACAATCAATCAAAGTGAGCAAAACAAAAGCAGTTTATTGCGAAACACTCAAGCTGCTTTTGCAAAAAAAACTGTCGAAACTATGCCCTTTCTGAATATCTCTTAAACTGAGATATTCTTGTGCTTATCTCTTTAATGAGATCAAACTTCTGTCAAAGATTTTGGACCGACGCGTTCTGAATCGAACTCACGCCCTCTGAACAGATCGGATCTCCAAAGCCCAGCGTTACACCAGTACACTATCGGTCTATTGCTCGATCTTTCTTATTTGATTTAAGTACTATCTTTGAGTACTATCATCATTGTATGCTAGCTTTTTGCGCTAGTCGCGACAAAAACACTCAAACTGCACACAGCAGGTCACATGCTATCGAGAAGACGACGAACTTGAATTGCGTAACAAAAGAATGTGCGGCATTGCTTCTTGACGCAGACGCGGTTGTTAGCACCAGACGACACTGTATCAGTGGGAACGTATCGAGACGTTCGAATTGCACTTCAGAAAGGCGATACCCGGTACGTTTCACAGACTCGAGCACCACACAGAACACGTTCTCGGGTCCTTGCAGCACAATCTCACTCTCATAGCCACCCGAATCGAACAACAACTCCAGATCGTCGCAATGTCGAATCGATAGCATATTTATCAAATCCATCAGAACATCGCCACTGGTTTGCTCGATTGTGATCTTCTTTTTGATCACCTGAAATTATTCATTATTTCCTCCGGTAAGTAGTGACTCGAAACATGTAAATATTTCAAAATCTTCCACGATCCAAATAAGAGAATCATTTATTGAAGAAAGTGGTGAGAAAATAACTGATGGAATATGGCATATATTTATGGTATGAGCAACATTCATCTTTTTGATTTCAAGCAAGAATTTACTGGATCAGTATGAACAACAAGAGATTTAGATTTCTTAGAAGTAGTAGTGAATACGAGTTCAGATCAACGGCACACTAGTACCTGGTTTCGTCCATCAATTCGTATAAGTATCGGTAGAGTTGTGGATTTGGGTTGTATTTTAGCACGACTCCTTTCAATTCCTTCAGTCAACAATTGCTGCCATTTCGTTTTCTCATCTTCACTTCTGCATAACAATTTTCATTAATATGATTTTTTGTCGATATTACAAGTCAGTCAGTCAGTGCCAGATTGATTTGCAATGGTTCAATGGTCATTATGAATTGGAAGGATTCAGTTAACAGAAAAAGATTTCAAATCACATTCAGATCGGTTCAGACTGTTGCAAATATGGCTGAATGAAACTAGGTGATCGTCATGGAATGAATATATGGAACATATCGTAATTGCCCGATACTGTTTCATGATTTTTCCGTATTAATCATTCTCGTCGAAAATAAAAAGGCGAAAGAAAGGGAGCAAACAAGTGAAATCAGAATTGAATAACTGAATGGTTAGTAAGGGATGTCGTTCGTTCGAGTGCAAAAAATTGCGCTTATTGAGTAACTAATTTAAAGGAATTATTCAAAAAAGTTACGCGAAATGAGCAATGAAATTGCAGATTGGCCATCCGATTAAGAACGAATGTGGGCAGTTATTTGAGGCGATCCACAAACGATCCAATCGCACTTTCTCTTTCAATTTGTAGCTGTTTGCTGCTCTGAAAGATATTATGTGAGAATTCAAGAAAAACCTTGCTTCATTACATCCGATGCAACAAACAAATATAAACAACTTTTTGTGCCATTTTCACTCTTATTGAAAATTGTTAAACAAAATTATTATCACTATCGGTAAAAATGCTGTCGAATTTATCACTGTTATTGTTATTACTGTCAATGTTGTTATCTTCACCGGTGTCATTACCATTATCATAATCAGTGTTA